GGGCCATTTTGACCCCGTTTTTCAAAATCATTGATATGGGAGTTATTGATCTTAAATTCTCATTGTGATTCATATTTGTTTAGATTGTGTTGATTTGAAGGCCAATCAAAAAAGGAAGGCTCAAGTACCGGATTTGGTTGTTTGCGTTATTGAGGTAAGTGGACCTCTTGACTCTTTGTTAAGTGTATTGAACCTTATATATCATTGTGTGATTGAGAGTAATGGAAAGAGGTGAAGGGTTTCACATACTTTTGTGTATTGTCAAATGATAAATATGTTCTAGTGAAAATAATGTGGAGTAAAAGAAGAATCTTGTTGAAATTATGATATACAGATTCTTATCGGTATTGTGATAATCGATGTACCATGAATGGTTGAAATGTTGTATTAACTCACCCTTTATAGTGCGCCAAGATTATCTATGTTGGCTTGTTGTTGGGTGGATTGATATCATTTCTCATCGAGCATTTGCACATATAGATTTGTATTTGTTCTATGATACTATGTGATGATGCCTTGTGAAAAATGATGAGAAATAGGGATGGGCCACACGCTCAGTGGAAGATTCTATAATGAGGGATTGGGTCACACGCTTTATGGCAAGTTTTATAATGAGGGTCTGGCCACACATTCCGTGGCAGATGCATGGACTGATATATCCTCCATGATCCAGGACTGAGATACAACAGTGTATATTACTAGGACAGACATGCATCACTCTATATGACATTGTGCATAATGACATTGCAGTTCATTTGATTCTTATCAATTGTGATCGATGATATTGTAACACCCCGACTTAGCAACGAGCTAAAGTTAGAAATAACTAATTTGTAAACAACTAATTTGAGAATTTTGCAAGTTATGCTTAAGTTGTTAGTTTTGGGTCAACTTCAAATGGCCATACTTTCAGTACATGATGATTTAGGTAGCCCATAAGATATCAAATGAAAGTTCTTTGAATCATCTTTCCAACGCCACCAAGTTTGCTAAGTTTCGAGTTCGGATGAGGGAGATATGCCCATTTGAAGTCAGTCTGTCCAGTTAAGGAAAGTTACCCAAATTAATAAGGGGTATTTTGGTCTTTTCCTTACCCCATCAACTTTAAACGTTTATAGTAATATTTTAGGGGCCTAAACTGATCTGGGTTAGTTTTCACAATCCTAAATACGCTTAGGATTTTAGAGAGAAGTTTAAGAAGAGAAAAAGAGGAGAAAAGAAAGAACGATCAAGATTCTTGCGAAGCTTCAAGGATTTCGCCAAGGGTTTGATCCCTAAGAGGTATGTGATTTCTCATAGTGTTGGGTTCGTTCACCCAAATGCCAGTCATGCGATTTTATCCGTAATTTCATCCTTGAGGTTGAATGCTTTGAGTTCTTGATGACTGTTCTTGAGGTGTTGTTTTCGTTGTTTAATTATGATGTTTGGTTGAGTTATTGAGGCAAGGATCTTGTTAATGAGTATTGTTCTTGAGGGTTTTCGAGTAGGTTTTCATGGAATTAAGTTGGGTAAATGAATCCAAGAGAGTTCGGAAGAAATTGATTGATTTTAGGCAAATTAGAGCCAAGAATCGAGGAGGAAAAATTCATCGGGTTTTATGGGTAGGGGGCTGGCGCGCCGCACCCGTAGTGCGCCAGGATTTGTGCTCTATAGTTTAGGGGCTGGCGCGCGCCACTCAATGCACCAAGGTTACCTGCCCTGCCCCTTTTTCCGTCGTTTTTCCCGTCTGAGTTCTTTTAAAGTATACATTCACACCTTTCTAATTCTAACTACTCTAAACTACATCTAAACATTGAGAGATCATTCATAACATGAATCATAACCCTTGAGTTCATAATTCAAATTCAAGGTAGAGTTAAGAGTAAAGTCTTGAGAGTTCTTTCAAGTCATTTTGAGAAGTCTTTTACAATATTTTAAAACTTATTTTAAGACTTGAGTACTTGAGTATGAGGATGAGTAGAGTTGAGTTTTATTTTTCAAAATGAATATATGGGAACTAAGTATTCCCAAAGAGTAAATGTTTTTACATTTATAATAAGGGGAAACATTGATTTTCAAATGAGTTATGAGAGGTTTTGAGTACTATCTCTTTTAATACAAACCTTTGGAGTAATAATCTCAAAGTTTGAGGATGAGGAAATGTTTAAAACATATGAGTTGATTATATATTTTGGGAGTAGTATTGAGCGCCGATATGGGGACGAGTTCAAACAACTCAAAGTCCCCATAAACCATATAGCCAATGTGGGTAGAAGGGGTCATACTTTTTAGATGATTTCTTAATTCTTTTTAGGCATAGCTTAGTGGATTCACTTAGTTGAGGAGTTCTATACCCCGACAAGGTATATGACAGTTCTTGCAGTGTGGGTGAGACGATGTATCATCACATAACTCATAGTGATGGTTGTCGGTTAGAAAATCTCCCAAATAGAGTTATTTTGTATCTTTACATACAAATAAGAGTTATTATTGTAATTAAATACATTGAGTTGTTATCTACTTTTTAAAAATGTTTTATATCAACTGTATCTTTATTGTTGTTTTTATACTGTATTGAGTTGAGTATCCATGAGTTGAGGTTGAATTGAGTAGAGACGAGGTGAGTATGTTTCCTTTTTTCCAAGTTCAAGCTTTTATGTTATGTTCAGTGTTCCCCTTACATGCTCGTACATTCAATGTACTGATGTCATTTGGCCTGCATTGTTTCATGATGCAGATACTGGAGATCAAGGTCTTCAACAGGCGCTTCGTTGATACTACTTGCAGTCCCAGAGTTGTTTGGTGAGCCTCATTGCTTCTAGAGGATCCCTCATTTATTTCCATTATTTCAGTTTTGTTAGGATGATCGGGGGTCTTGTCCCGACATCCCGCATTGTATTAGAGGCTTCACAAAAAGCAATAGTTGAGGAGTCTTTTTCATTTTCATTTTGTTAATGTTTAAACTTGAGTTTCCCCTTGTGGCCTGTTTGAATATTTTTAAATGTTCTAAGTTAATCATTTTGAGACTTGAGTTAAAGAGTTTTGTTATGAGTTGAGTTAATTTTGAGTTCTTATATTTATTAGTAAGTCTTCCGCTGAGTATTGAGCCAAGCCAAGGGTTCTCTTGGGAACCAACAATGGTTCTCGAGTGCCAGTTGCGTCCAGGGTGTAGGCTCAGGGAGTGACAAGCTTGGTATCAGAGAACAGAGTTCAAGAGTCCTAAGGTTTCTACGAAGCCGTGTCTGTAGAGTCCTAGTTATCGGTGTGAAGCACAGCACATCTATAATTAGGAGGCTGCAACATTTAGGAACTATCTCACTTCTTTCATACTCTTTTTGTCCGATAGATTTTAACTCTATAAAGTTTGCTTCTAATTCGTGCTTGCGCGTAACTTTCCGATCATGCCTCCACAAAGAGTTGTACGAGGTCGTCATTCTAGGAGAAATGTTAATCCTTGGGATCAAGGGGTCCCCAATGCACCAGAAGTACAACCCCAATGAGAGGTCACTAATGCTGAGTTTCGGGATGCTATTCGGATGTTGAGTCAAGTTATGACTTGGCAACAAAGATGGAATCGACAGGATGTGGTTGATATATCCAGGATCTGTGAGTTCTTGAGGATGATTCCTCCAAACTTCACTGGTTCAAGTGTCACTGAGGATCTAAAAATTTTTGTGGAAGAGTTACAAAAGCTTTTTGAGGTGATGCATGTTGCAGATGCTGAGTGTGTGGAACTAGCTAAATACCTACTGAAGGGTGTTGCTAGAGTATGGTACGACCAATGGTAAATGAGTAGCGCTGAGGGTGCACCAATTCTGAGTTGGGCTGTGTTTGAAGAGGCCTTCTTGGGGAGTTCCTTTCCCCGTGAGACAAGGAAGGCCAAGGTAAGGGAAATCATCACTATTTAGCAGGAATCCATGAGTGTCCATGAGTATAGCTAGGGGGTGACAAATGGTTGGATTGGATCAGATTTGGATGTATTGAATATGGATTGAGCAAAAATGGTTTGGATTACAATCCACCCAAATAGAATATGGGTAAATATGGATTTGGTCAAATATGGTTTGGGTAAAATGGTTCTAACCCATTTAAAAAACCTATTTTTTTCAAAAAAAAAATTACCCCCTCCCTCGGGCACCCCCCAACCTTCCACCAATCTACCCCTAAAAATTTTTTGTTTTCCAAAAACAAAAAAAAAAATCTGTTTC